GAACAGTTTGGACCCACGTTGAAATCAACTGCCTCTGGCAGCGACCTCAGCGAGAATGTCGTAATTCTTAAAAATCATTCGCTTTCTAACTTAGTAAAAACAAAACATATAACCGGAATATTTATTGGAAATGCAGAATATAATGCAGAATATATAAATGAAATACACTTAAAATATTTTTCGATGTTCGAAATCGATTGATCGAAATCGTTGATTTCGATATGTAAAAATACATATTTTTACTCGGAATCACCGGAATTAAATATGGCGATTAAAAGATTTATTTTGAATTTGTTCGATAGTAATAAACTAACTTACAGCTTCTAAACTTATTCAAGTCAAGTCAAATTTATTGATCACATGCGACATTATACAAAGTACATATATGAGACAAGTCAAAGTTACAGACATATATCTTAAAAGTATATAAATTAATAAACAACAAATAAACTTAAAAGTTATTTTTAGAATACGGCTCTAGCTTACAAATGTATTGATGTACACACCTCCGAAAGTTTGGCTGATGTAAATTCGTTCGTATATCTATTGGTAATTTGTTAAAGAAACTTATGGCTGCATAATGTTTGCTACCTACCAACAAAACAGAACGATGTTGTGGACGCATAAAGTGATCGTCTCTGAATCTTGTTGAATAAACATGGTTAAATTGAAATTTATTAAATTCATAAATTTGCTATGCAAATACATTATACACGAAAATATATACAGACCAGGAATTGTAAGAATATTGTTTTGTCTAAAGATGCCTCTACAAGAATCTTTAAATTTCATTTTATACATTATCCTAATAGCTCTTTTCTGAAGTACGAATATCTGCTCTAATTCAGAGGTACATCCACAGACTTCCATGCCATATTTGGCTATTGAGTAAAAATGGGCAAAGTATACTGTTTTTAATATTGATGTATGAAAGAGACGTGAAAGAATTCTCAATGCATAACATTCGCTACTTAACTTGGATTTCAAATTAGAAATGTGATTTAACCATTTACAATTACTGTCTAAAAGTACCCCCAGCAACTTCGTGCAGTCTGTTTTATCTATTGCTGCTTCTATAGTGGCTTGATGGTTTAATCAATTATTTGACGTAAAAATCATATACTTTGATTTCTCTTCATTTAAACTAATTTGTTGGATAAAAAATAACTGTTGATGGTGGGTAGTATCTCTTTAGTTTTATTTTGCAAATTTTGATCAGACGTTCCTGTGACCAGAATATTGGTATCATCCGCATAATTGATGATGTTAACCCCAGTCAGTGAATTAGTTACCAAAGCTATATCATTAACAAATACTATAAAAAGTAGATGACCCAATACACTACCCTGAAGGATACCATAATGGATATCCAATGTGTTTGATTCGTTTACAAGTTCATTAGATGTTATCTTTACTTTTTGTCTTCTATTCTCTAGGTAGGAAGTAAACCATTTTAGAACTATGCCACGAAAACCAATCACCTCAAGTTTTATTAGCAACAAATTATATCCAAAGTGTCAAAAGCCTTGGACAAATCGAGAAATAAACCACATGCCTTCTCTCGTCTGTCCAAAGCATCCAACACTAAGCTGACGAAATTTGCAAGAGCTGTAGTTGTAGACTTAGAAGATGTAAAACCATGTTGAAAATTATGCAAGACACTATGCTTTTTTAGAAATACGTTCATTCTAATATAAACCAGAGTTTCAATTATCTTTGAAAACACAGATAAAAGACTTATGGGACGATATTTCTTGAGGTCATCTTTATCACCACTTTTGAATAAAGGGATTACAATAAATAGTTTAAACATACTAGGAAATATTCCTTGTTGAAAAGAGGCATTACAAATATCCGTCAGTGGATCTGCGAGAGCATGAATGCATTGTTTTAATAACTTAGGGTGGTGATCAAGTCTGATTAAAACCACAACTGTGTTTGGATAAAACTTCCGACTATACTAGTTATTTCCTGTGGGTTAGTTGGATATTATATTATTTCCGTTAAACAACAAAAATGTTGTCAAATATAGTCCTGAAAGAGGCAGATGGTAAACAGAAAAATCAAAGAACCGGTTCTAATTATGCTAAATGAGACCAATTGCGTCGCAAATTTCTCGGCATAATGTAGTAGGATCTGGGTACCCATATTAAAAGAGGAAATCAATAACATATCGAGGATACATCATTTATGTTTTAAAATAAAATACATATAAAATCAGTTTCGCATTATTATTGAGAGTAAACTAAAAGTAAGACCACTTACCATTTCCGGATAGTATCATGAGATTTTGTTCCTGGTTTTTCCTTCATGGTTTACTATGGGATCACTAACAGGAAAATTTTACTATCATCACTGCATGTGGTTGTCTGTTTGTAACATTTTTTTATAATTAAAATAGTAAATAATTTTTAATCCCTTTACACTCTTACTGATACGCCCATGGCCGTGTCCGCAAATATGCGGGTGGGCTCTCTCATCCTTAGCAAATTTTATTGGAACATACCGACTATCACGGAGTTCTCAAAGTACGAATCGTCGTACTTATCAAAAGAGGCCGAAGTAGAATATTTTATGGTAGCCAGGCGGGTTCTTTTTGATAACTTTGGGGAACACAGTCGTAAAAGCTCTTTATAGTCTCCTTCTGAAAGAACCTAATTCAACACGTTCTATCTTTTCCACGGTTCCCAACTACAAGAGTCCCGTTACATACCTAGATCTTTTTTAAGCTTGTTAAATTTTGAAAGAAAGAAAATCACTCTGGGCAAGACAGTCTTCGAGTAAAGACGTTCGCTTATCTTACCGTTCTCTGTGAATTTTTTCTTTAAATATGTATAAACTTAAATCTTTGAAATATCTTAATCTAATACCATATTAGATTAAATATTATTATAAAGAATCTTCATTTTAATTAACTTCAGTACTTGATACTAGTAAAGCATAGTAGAATCTGGGCGAATAATATTGTAATCATATTACCCAATCCTGGACGAATCTGCGTCAACCATTTCTTCACCTGTAGTTAAGGTTAACTACCGATTTATTAATTCAATTCAAAGAACATTTATTTCTTTTATACAAACTTTCAGTTATTAAGAACTTCTCACAAATAATAATTACGAATATTCAATATTCAGTAAGTTAATTTAACTAAAAACAGTGTGAGACAGACAGTTAACCAAGTGCAGGTTGGTTTCATTTTTATACTACAGAAGCTGCTTATTACATTAAATTATTATTATACCTTCGACCAGGAGAAAGATCAGACTGATTAATTTTCGTAGGTAAGAAGGTTATAGTACCTAATATATTTATTATTTGTTTATGTTGTGTGTTGACAAAATTTACCTAATAATTAACTGTTGATATCTTTCCTTGGATTTGGTCTCAGAACCTAAATATCTTTCCTTATCTCTTTTCGTTTTTAAGGTTTCTTAACTTTCCCCTTGAACCCCAAAAAGTTATGTGGCCGCCTTTTTTTTTGTTTATTTCTGTATCTTTTCTAATATATCTTATGCTGTCCTATCTTTACTTATTTCGTCCGTTTGACCAATTCCCGGTTCCAAAAGCTAGTTTCGAACCCACGACTCGCTCTCCACCAACCATCTGGCTGTCGTCCGCAGTGTCTCCATTGCTGACCTTTCTAGCACCATCCAAAAAAGCTTTCCGAGGTTACATGTTTTAAAGACAAATCACATGCTATGATTTTCCTGACTGGTATTCTTATTTGTGATTTCATGTAATCGGATGAACTATCTTCCAATACAGTCGTCCCAGCAACGCAACTCAAAAATATTGACAATAGCATTTTAAAATCATCTACTTTAAAATGTATAATATGTCTGATTTGTCAATATGAATGAGTCAGATAAAATTAAATATCAAAATAGCCGACTACTGTCTCAGACTACGTTTATAACGTAGTTCATCAAACTCACATTTTTACATATATTTAAAATTAGGAGAACACATTGAGAATAGGTTGGCAGTCAAAAAGTGGCTGCAAATATTTTTAGCTGTCTAGATAAAATAAGACTAGCTGTCTTATTTTATCTTTGACACCTCGCGTTTTTAATAGTTGATAACCCAAATTTTCGACCATTTTTCTCGGGAAAACTTCAAAATATCATTATATTAAGAAAAAAATTAGCAATTGATATAAAACAACACGCATATACGTCATGAGCAGCGTATTTTATATAAAAAAAAAGAATAAAATAAAATTTTTGTCAAAAATTAAATACTATTAATTAAATTAAAAATATTTACGGGCACTTTTTGACTGGCAACCTATTTTCAATGTATTCTTCTAATTTTAATTGTATGTACAAATGTGAGTTTGATTCCCGTTATAAACGTATTGATATTTATGTGTTGTTGGGCATTAGATTGACGATTGTGTTAAATTCAAACTATTAAGAGTTTTAATACATAACTTACGAAACAAGTGATAAATTAACAAGTTTTATTTTTAAATTACAAATTTACAAATTTACAAATTACAAGTTGAAGTCATAGTATAATTTAAATAGAATACATGAACCAAATTATAAACTAATAAATTAACCAGTTACAATTAAAGTTATAAATTTAGAAGATAATTAAGTTCTATATATAAGAGTTTTAATACATAACTTACGAAACAAGTGATAAATTAACAAGTTTTATTTTTAAATTACAAATTTACAAAATTACAAATTACAAGTTGAAGTCATAGTATAATTTAAATAGAATACATGAACCAAATTATAAACTAATAAATTAACTAGTTACAATTAAAGTTATAAATTTAGAAGATAATTAAGTTCTATAATATAATTTAAATAGAATACCCGAAACCAATTATAAACTAATAAAGTAACCAGTTACATTTAAAGTTATAAACTAAGAAGTTGATTAAGTCATACTATAATGTAAATAGAACACCAAAAACCAATTAAAAACTAATAAACTAGTTACATTTAAAATAAATTAAGAAGATAATTAGGTTGTATACTATACTACCATAAAAGATAAGTAGCCCTTAATTCATTATTGACTGCAGTCAACTTTTCCATATTGATTTCCCTAAAAAATAAAAAAAAGTTAAATCACTGTTGAGTAATTAAACAAAGTTCGCATGTTAACAAGAGAACAACTATAAATACACATCCTAAAAAGTAAATATGCACATTTACGCTACTTATACCCTTTGTGGGTATAGTCGCCTCGTATTTCGGTGAGTCTGTGTAAAAATATATTTATCTGTAATGAAAGCAGGCAGTAAAAATTAAAATAAAAGTACTCTACCAGGAGTAGTTACTAACTACAAAATTATCAATGACTGAGATGTATAATAATACAAAGTTTTAATATTCTCATCGATATTTACATTCAGATGTATCTTGTATTATGTTTGAAAATATGGGCAGTCACCCAGTTAAAGTTATCATCGAATTTTTCCGATACTACATGATTATAGGATAAAACGTCTTCTTCTAGACAGGAGAAAGGATTGTGCAAATTTAGATAAATAGAACGGTACCTAAAGGAACCTATAATCAGAACAATATACAAAATAGATGCGGCTAATATTTTTCCAACAATTGAAAGCCTTCAAAGTGAACTCGTTCTAAAGGACATTCTCTCATATTTAGCAACAACACTTTGATGATATCTTAAAACCCATAATTTTATGTAAAAAAAGTATAGACAAGCGCCAAACACTAAGGGAGAGTACTAGAATAAGAATAATTGTTTGAAAAATCTCTTCTTCCGAGTTTACTTAAGTAATTGTCTTGGACAACGCATCATATCATTCAAGAATGAGAAAATTCCAAATATTACTTGAAACAAAATACAAATGCAAGAATTTTTATTTGAGAAAGATTTGTACTTTGAGGCATCACATAGTAAAAAGCAATTGTTGGAGGTTGTTTATAGTAGACAGTACCAGAAGGAATATGTTGTTGATAACTGTACTCGCACTAATGGGCATACCGTGCTTAGACTTACTCCTTACTATTGTACATTGAATGCAATAGTTATTATGGACTCAACTTGAAGGAAATATAAGAAGAAGAAACGTGGTTCCTAAATTTTCGTCTACTGTTCTCCAGTTAATTAGAATAGAACTCACAAAGATCACAGCAACCAACTGCTATGTTAAAATTTATTTATTTGCTATTTATTTGTTAAAATTAAAACTATGTTAAATATTTACCAGCATTAACCAAATTAACTATAAATTTAGAAGATACGAGTGATACTAGTGATAACAGTGATGCTGAGTAGATTAGTAAGTACTGTTACGAACATGCATTCTACGTAGCCCATATACCGGTTGCAACCCGGGACGAGGATGATCTGTTCTTCTAGAAGCGACAGGAACTGTCGACCGATGGAGAGTTCGACACGTCAAGTAAACGAATTATAGGTGAAATACGCCAGAATATTCTAGTACATAATAACTTTTGTATATAAGCATACCTTCTATGAGTTAGTCATAGTCAGTAGATAAGATATTTTCGTGCTGTAAACTTATAAATATATTTATATAAATTCGAACCGCTCATTTTATTTAATCTCGCTACATTGTTGTCGGGTGTGAGATTTCAAAATAAATACGGCAGAGATTTTTGAAAAAGACTTTTGAACTTTTGAAAAGTATTGTTCGTCGGGAATATCCGCGTAGTTCGGTAGTGATCTTTGTACGAAAGAACATTTAAAAAAAGTACGTGTGTGCCTGACCAACGATGCTGCTATTAGAACTTTCAGTAAGACAGTTGCGTGAGCAACTAGAAGAACGCGATGAAGACTGCAGCGGGTCCAAGAAGATACTTCAAGAACAATTGAAGAATGTTCTTAAAAAATGTGTCGCAAATGATTGAATAAACTTCTAAAAACATGATAATAAATTAGAGAACGTTTCCAAAAGATTCGATGAAACATTCGAAAATGTAGCTAGAAGATTTGACGAAACTTCACAAATAATTAAAAAAGTATGTATTCAGAACAATGAAAAATTTGAAGAAGTTTCAAAAACATTCGATAAGATACAGAAAAATGTAAACGATAAGATAGAAGATGTAGAAGAGAAAATCAAACAATTAAAGATCATGATAACTAACACGCAAGTGCTACAACCAGTTAATACAGCAGCTTTAGATCCGGTAGTGAAAGAAGAATCACCTAGAGACAAAACGACACATCATATGAGATTCAAATTGCCACTATTTGATGGAAAGTTTTCTTGGTCCATATACCTTAGACAATTTGAAGCTATTGCTACAGCCAATCATTGGACAGAACAAGAAAAAGCTGTTTCCAAGACTGCTGCTTTACGAGGTGATGCTGCGGATATCCTAAGATCGATTCCTAAGGGTCCAGAAAAATGTTACCAGACCTTGTTCGCTCAACTACACAAACGTTACGGAGATGCCCATCTACAACAAGTCTACAAAGTACAAATAAGAAGTAGAATTAAACGAGCAAGTGAGGGCTTGCAAGAATTTGAAGCAGATGTTGCGCGTATAGCGCTGTTGGCTTATCTAGAGGCACCAGACAACATATAGGAAGAAAATGAAACTACAGGTCTGACTCCAACCTGCCTGATGTTAGGTCGTGATGCGATGTTCCAAGTGCCAATTCGTAGATTATTTGGTCTCTTTGCCATTTTTCTTGCTTGGTTCGTCATCTGTGTATCCGTCCAATTCTGAGGCTTCCGTTCGGTTCTATGAGCATTGACTTTTTTGACAGTAGGTAGGCTGCTAACCTTGCTCACCAACCCCCTTTTCGGAGGACCATTTTTCCCTTCCTCGTCAGCCCTGACCCTGCCTTCCATTGGGGTTTGTTACCCAATCTTCAGCAAAGTTTCTCAGGTTTTCCAGGGTTCACCCGTGCAGCTCAAGTCACATTTCGTGGAGGTGAGGATAGGGATTGACTAGGAGAGCTAGAGAATGCTAACTGGAAACAGCATCTCATATTTAAGTTGAAATGCAGAGACATTATATGAGCTAATAAATTTTGAAAAGTAGATATATATACCAAAAATTGGCATATCATGGTAAATCAGATTGAGAAATCAGGATGTTTTTCTTTTTCCCATGTAACAACTACTGAACAGAATAAATTAAAATATTAAATCGGTACAAAAAGCTGTTATAAAACTCTCAAAAAACTACATCAATATTTGACTCAATTTTATTTTAAATGTTAACCATAGTTATATCAATAATTACCCCTTTTGAAGATCGTCAGGATCGGAAGGATCTGGTTGGTAAACATCAACATTGTTCATTGCTTTGATTACATTTTGCTTATCCTTTTCGTTCATGAAATTCAAAATATCGATGGGTAATACACCAAGCTCTTGAGTTAATGTACAAGTCAACCTAAAATTTAATTGTTAATATGAAAATATGCAATTTAAATTTGGGTCAAAAACGTTACTAAAATGTGCATAAAAAGTCTAATATCAAAATAATTCTGATTCAAAAATAAACACAGCTTTAAATTGGATAATATGTTTATACAGGGTGTCCCATAATTAATTGGATATTAGCTAATGAGTAAATAGCTGACATCAAAATAAAGCGTTTGAGCTCAAATTACTTAATACAAAATATAGCTAGTTTTCGTTCTACATGGTGATTCATTAATGTTTTTTTATATTATTTTTAGGTAAGGTATCTTGCTATTATTTAGTATGCTGAATATGAAAATGATATTAGTTTTACCATTGACACTAGGTGGCGCCACCTACTTTAACATTCTAGGAAAAAACATGAAATAACATTAAATTCTACACAAAAAAGGTATTCTTGTTTCAAATCAAAAAAGTATACCGTTTTCGAAATAAACGTATTTTGATAATGATATACACGTCTGTATTTATTTTTTCGCAAAACAAGTAGGTACCTAGATATGTTGTGAATTTAATGGTAAAGTCAAGGCGTCAAAGTACGAATTTGTTTACTATTTTTTATTTTTAGTATTTTGAGAAAAAATGTTTGTTCTCGTAAAGCAGCTCAACACTATTTCGAACTTTATCCCAATAGAAGGCAACCAAACCATAAAACTATTAGATCATTGTTCGACAGACTAGGCTAAACAGAGTCATTTTATCCCAAAAACCGGAATGCTGGAAGACCGAGAGTAATTGATGCGGATATGCAGGATGAAATTATTGTGCGTGTTGCAGAAGATCCAGAAACCAGTACAAGTCTTGTTTGTGAGGCAATTGGCATAAGCAGACAGAAAATCTGTATCCGTATCGTTTTACTCCAGTACAGAATCTTTTACCACATAATTTTCCAGCAAGGTTCCGATTTAGTCAGTTTATGACAGGGCGGCATTAAGACGATCCAATGTTTTATAAAAAAATTTCATTTACCAATGAAGTCACATTTACTAGAAGAGGTGTGTTTAACTGGCGCAGGAGCCATATATATATATATATATATATATATATATATATATATATATATATATATATATATATATATATATATATATATATATATATATATATATATATATATATATATATATATACATATATAATGGCTATACACCCCAGCGTGGGGTTAAACCGGCAAATGCTTTCTAGATCCTATTTCTTAAGTGGATCAGTCTTTTTTTGTTTATCTTATCTTCTTTACAATATCTCTCCATTTTTTCCTGTCTCTAGTTCTTCCTCTCCATTCACTGAATCCTGCCTTTGAAGGTCTTCTTCAACTTCTTGCAGCCACTTTGATCTCGGTCTTCCCCTTCTCTTTCTTCCTCCTGGATTCCATTCTATCATTGCGTATGTCACTGCCTCATTGCCTGCTCGCCAAATGTGACCTAACCATCTAACTCTGCATTGCTTTATTTTAGTTACGATGTCTTCCTTAAGTTCTTCCTTAATTTCTGCATTTGTTCTGCTTCTATATTCATTTTGCTCTGTTCTGATTGGTCCTAGTATGGTTCTCATAATCTTTCTCTCTGCTATTCTTAAGTCTTCTTCATCTTTTTTAACCATCGTCATTGTTTCCCCTGCATATAATAATATTGTGTGTGTTATAAATGCTCATCTTGGTTTTTTTAGTCAGTGTTTTGCTTTTAAGTAATCTTTTGTTCGCAAAATAAGCTTTATTCGCTGCTATTTTTTCTTTTATTTTGGATTTCCTTTCTCCGGATTTACTTATTGTAACTCCTAGGTATTTGAAGTACTCTACTTCTTCAAACTCAAAACTTCCTATTTTGATTTTGTTCTTCATTGGTTTTTTCCCTAATCTTAATATTTTTGTCTTTTCTTGATTTAATCTTAGCCCCATTACCTCTCCTTTCTCTCTTATTTCTTCAAGCATTTCTTTCATTATTTTTCTGTTCTTTGGAATAATAGCAATATCGTCTGCATATGCAATTATTTGACCACCTCTTGTTCTGAGATTTCCTTTATTTATATTTCGCAGTACATATTCTAATGCTAGATTAAATAGCGTTGTTGATAAGGCTTCTCCTTGTTTCATCCCTTTATTTATACTGAATTCCTCTGTCTCTCCTCTTTGTGTCTTTATGCTTATTTTGTAGTTCTCATTGTCATTTCTATTAATTTTCTGAGTTTATGTGGAATTTTTAATTTTTTTAAGTGCTGTCATTAATACGTTCCTTTTAATTGAATCAAATGCCTGTTTAAAGTCTATGAATAACATTTCCAACTCTAATTTATACTCGTTTGCTTTTTCCATTATTTGTTTTATTGTGTGTATTGCATCTATTGTAGATCTTCTTTCTGTGAATCCACATTGGTACTGTCCTACTGTCTTCTTTGTGATCTTTGATAACCTCTTTTTTATTATTGATGTCAATATTTTATATGTTGTATTTAGTAATGTTATTCCTCTATAATTTTCACAGATTTGTTGGTCTCCCTTTTTATGTACTGTTATGATCTGTCCTACCTCCCAGTCACCTGGCATTTTCTCTTCTTTCCATATATTTTTCAATAGTGCCAGTATTTTTCCTCTTAGTTCCCTTCCCCCGTATTTTATTAGTTCCATATTAATTCCATCTTTACCAGGGACTTTTCCATTTTTGCTTCTCTGTATTACTTCATCCAATTCCTCTAATGTTGGTTCTTTTGAAATTTTGATGTCTACTTCATTTGCTTTTTCTTCGTGTACTGTTTCCTTCTCCTCTCTGTAGTAATCTCTCCATACTTGCTTGTATTCTTGGTCCTCTATTATCACTATTCCCTCTCTATTTTTGATTCCGTTTGTTTTGCCCTTGTATTTTTTGTTTTGTTCTTTAATCTTTTTGTAAAAACTTTTCGTATTTCTGTTTGTTCTTTCCTGCTCTATTTCCTGCATTTTTTTGTCTACCCATCTTCTTTTATTTTGCCTTATCACTTTCTTAGCATTCCTTCTTAATTTTTCATATTCTTCTCTGTCTTCCTCTTTATCTGTTCTTAGCCATTTATTTCTGGCTTGCACTTTTTTTCCTGTTATTTCTCTACATTCTTGGTTATACCATTCGTTTTTTGTTTTAACCTGACTTTTACCTATCTGCATATTTGCACCTTCTTCTATTGATTTTTTAATCGTCTCCCATTCTGTGCTTATATCTTCTGCTTTATATATCTCTTTTATTTGAACTGTTACTGCCTCTTCATATTTTTTTCTTACTTCTTCATTACTCAATTTATTAACATTCCATTTTTTATGTTGGTTTTTTTGTTTTGTTTCAATTTTAACTTTTTGTCTTATAATGGCTGTGACCATGTAGTGGTCTGAATCTGCACACGCACCTCTGAACGTTCTTACATCTTTTATTGACGATTGTTTTCGTTTATTAATCATTATGTGATCAATTTGACTATATGTTTTCTGATCCGGTGACCTCCATGTTACCTTATGTATTTTAGGATGTTCAAATTTTGTCGAGCTTATAAACAAATTTGTTCTTGTTGCTAGGTTACATAGTCTTTTTCCATTGTCATTCGTGTTTTCGTGTATTGTATACATTCCTGCAATTTGCTGTAAAAAGTCCTCTTTTCCAATCTGGGCGTTGAGGTCCCACAGTACAAATATGACATCTTCTTTGGGTATTTTTTCTATCTCCTCTTCGACCTCATCATAAAAGATTTCTTTTTCGTCTGCATTGCTTATTTCTGTGGGGGCGTATAAATTCAAGACTGATATATTAAATGGTTTGCTGTTGACTTTAACATAGGCCATCCTTTCGCATATTGGCTTGAAATTTATAATTTTCTCTCTTAGGTGACTTAGTATCATGAATCCCACGCCTTTTTGCCCTCGCTTCTTTCCTCCTGAATATAACATTGTAAAGTCTTGTTTATCAATCTGTCCCTGTCCCTCCCAGCGTAATTCTTGCAGTGCTGCAATATCTATTTTGTACTTTTTGAGTTCTTTTCCTATTTCTAGCATTTTTCCTGGAGCTATCATAGTTCTTATGTTCCATGTGCTTATTTTCAACTCTTTATTTTTTTGTTCTGTTGTATTCGTCCTTTATTTTTGTTTTCTTGTCCATTTTTCTTTATTTCACTTTTGTTGTGCCCGGGTTTATCTGCAGTCATTTCCTGTTTCTTCATTTTCTTTTCTTATTCTATCCATCCTTTCAAGGCGTCCTTTTGTCTTATTCAGATCCTTTTTGATTTGTTCATTTTCTTTCCAGATTTCACTATTCTCTTGTTTTAGTTCTGCTAGTTCAGTTTTGAGTTCCCTCAATGAAGTCACATTTACCAGAAGATGTGTGTTTAACTGGCGCAGGAGCCATACCTATACGACAGAAAATCCTCACGCATTTCAAGAACATCATTTTCAACATGAGTTTTCCATAAATATCTGGGGTGGCTTATTTTGGGATTGTATTGTAGGACCATTCGAATTACCAACTAGGCTTGACGGAGTAACATCTAAATTTTTTGAGAGAAGATTTATCAACTCTTTTAGAAGACATACCTCTAAATTTGAGACGTAACTCTTGGTACATGCATGATGGTGCACCACCACATTATAGCCTAGAAGTTAGAAATTATCTAGATGAAATTTATCCTCAAAGGTGGATTGGTAAAGGTAGTGTACACCAATTGCTAGCATTCAGTCCCAAACTAAATCCCTTAGACTTTCACTTGGGGGGCTACCTAAGAGTCAAGAGTTATGGCAAAATATTGTAGAGGGAGTTAACGTAATTAGAGCCCAAAGAAACACATTATTTAAAATAAGACAAAACTTACACAAAAGATTTAGATTATGTAGTTTATCTAATGGTGAATATTTTAAACACTTACTATATTTTTTTTTTGTTTCGTTTTGAATTATTCACTTTGTCAATTGTTTTATATTCACTTCATTAATTAATTTAATTTCTGATTTTTTTTTAATTTGTTACTGTGTAAAAGGTTTAATAAAAATAATTGTTTCAATCATGCATTTTGTTTGCAAAAATTATCTACTACTAATACATTTAATATTTACTGGTATTTAAGACCTTTTGAATAATGTTTTGGTTTATATAAGTTTTTGTAAATTTTTTATTTTATCCACGTCTGTAAAGAATGCGTTTATTTATTATGGCCATATTAAATGAACCAATGTTATAGTAGGTGGCGCCACCTAGTGTCAATGGTAAAACTAACACCATTTTCATATTAAGCATACTAAATAATGGCAAGATTCCAAATTTCACTTAAATCGGTTGAATAGTTTTCAATATATCCCTAAAAATAATATAAAAAAATATTAATGAATCACCCTGTAGTCCGAAAACTAGCAACATTTTGCCTAAGCAATTTGAGCTCAAACGCTTTATTTTGATGTCAGCTATCTCCCATTAGCTAATGTCCAATTAATTATGGGACACCCTGTATAATCTCGATAAATAAAATAAAAAATAGAACTATGGGACTAAACGTAAACAAAAATGGACGAAAGGAGTCTTAAATCTAACGCCGAGGAAATATCCAAACTTTATATTTCTGAAATTAACTGAACTACTTAGTCTTCCACTTCTGGAACCTAACAAAATTGATTCATTAATTGGCTCTAATTTATAATTCCAACTATTCTTAGGTGAAATCATATCTCTTGGTCATAATTTAGCAACTTATATGCATACTGAATTAGGTTTTATAGTCGCCGGTCCATTCATCGAAAAACAACATTTAAAACGCCATAACAAAGATGCGAAGTATCAAAAACACATGCTTTTTGTCTCTTGAAACCACTTCTATGTACATATATAAGGACAAACTTAAATTTGTGGTCACTAGATTTTCTTTTTCTCACATCCTTATGCCTTTTTTTTATTAAAGGAAGACTCCTAGAGTCTTCAAATTTGGTACCCAGTTCCTGTTGGTATTATGTTCTGTGGGGTCCTTCTATACTCCGTTATAATTATATACATATACTTCGATTATTTTTAAAATATAGTACGTTTAACACACTATCTTTTATGTCTACATGATTAATGAATAGCCTGCTTAGAAAAGTGAAATGATACAATAATGATTTACAAGTCTAACACCTAATTTCGACTGAAGACATGTTTCTGGATACAATTAGTTTTATGTTTTTAATTAAAATAACTTACATTAACCTGTGGAACAAAGCATCTTCTTTGTCGATTTTTCTACCAGGTTTGCATAGTATACATTTAAAGCCAATACCAGGATTTCCACTCACGTAACCAACGCACGGTCCATGGTAAGATCTTTCACATTGTGTACATTTAACTATATTTAATTTCTCGGGAATTCTTAATTTGCACATACAGTCTATGTCTTCCGTAGTTTCCATGTCATAATCTTCAGTAAAAATATTTGGAGTAGTCTGGTCCTGGTCTGAAATGTTTACAATAAAAAAGTATTCGGTGTAAATTAAAAATTGTATAAAATGACCAAATGATATGGGAAGGAATATTTGTACTCCTTCCATCCACAAAAATTACCGTAAATTAAACATTTATACTAAACGTGTACAAAATATGCTGGGGGGGGGGGATTGTGAAAGTAACGTTGAATACAAAAACTATGACGACATGCCTGAAATATTTTTGTTCATTCTAATCAAAATTCTTCAGTTTTCCTTCATGATTCCAGGATAACGAAATCAGGATAAATTACATAATTTTATTTCGGTGGAATTATTATTATTATTATACATAAGCGAGGGCAGATGACTAAGTCCCTATTATGCCCAAAAACAAAGAAATTTCATTAATAGCCTACTAGTAAATAACAAAATTACAAATAAAAGAAATAAAATTACAATTTTTTGGGTTAAGAGAAAAACAATATTTTAACTATAATATAAAACCGTCAAGTCTGTTTTTGAACGAGTTGGTAGAGGGAGCGGAGACAATGTTATCGTTAAGGTTATTCCAGCACTCAAAAACTCTATTTGGAAGAAAGTTCTGTCTTGATCTTGTAGAAAAATTTTCTTTCTTTAGTTTATACTGATGACATCTGAGGCGTTCATCTTGATTTATGATAAATATTTCATCGAGGTTTCCAAAATTGAATTTTAGTATTTTAAAGGTTGTAATTAAGTCTCCACGTTGTCGGCGAAGTTCAAAAGTAGTTAGGTTAGCCATACTGTATAAGAAGGTCTTCTCGGTCCCAAAAAAATTCGAGTGGCTTTTCTTTGAACGTTTTCCAACAAAGTCTTGTCTCGAACCAGATCAGGATACCACGTTGGTCCAGCGTATTCAAGTATGAGTCTTACGAACAGAGTGTAAAGTTTACAGAATGATCATTGAAATTCTCGAAAAACACCTCCGAATAAGATACAGTCTGGAGTTTGCACCTTTACAAATAGAGGTAATATGGTCGGACCAAGTTAGGTTGCTGTTTACGATAACACCAAGATCGTTATACGAAAACACAGATTCTAATGGCTGCCCGTTAACAAAGTACTGCACAAGTGGGTTATTTTTACCAATTCGAAGCACTGCACATTTTTCCGCGTTTAAGGGTAGTAACCACTGGGAACACCAAGTTAAAATAGAGTCCAAGTTCGTTTGGAGGGTTAGCTGGTTTGTGATTGGATTGGCATATATTTTTGTGTCGTCAGCGTAGAACGATATTTTACTTGAGACATAGTAAGGAATATCGCTGATGTAAACCGTAAAAAGCAGAGGTCCAAGGACAGAACCCCGAGGCACTCCACTTTCCACTAACCTGTCCTGTGAGAAAGATTCGCCAACTCTAACTTTGTAGTATCGATCTGTCAGGAAATGTTAAAAAAATATTTCTAAAATTTTTTTTCGGCCTTTCGAAGAACAGGCCATTGATTGTGCCATCAGCACCTCAAATACAACAGTAGCATGATATCGACTTTCTCCCAGATGCAGTATACACACAGTCGAATTGTATGGAATACTCAAGGCATTAGACTCTCCTATTACTAATGACAAATCCAATTCTCTCTCTGCCATTGATTCAATCAGAAATATATACTCCATACATCACATTGTAAAGTGCATCCACAGTATATAACAACGGCAGTCAAAAATGGTGTTTCAGTAATCATCATGTGGATATCATCCTATGTTGGTATCAATGAAAATGAGAACGCTAATTGTAGAAAACATTCATGCTCCTTAGAAAATATGGAAAACGTAAAGAGCATATTTAAAGAGTAACATGGCAACAAGCGCATTGACAGTAAAATCAAAAATATAGTGCAAAAACTTTATTGAAACCAAAATGCCATAGTTCAAATTGATGGGCAATACTCAGAAGAAATGAAGATCTGTAGAGGAGTTAGACAGGGATGTGTTTTATCGCCACTTCTGTTTAACCAAAATTGTGTAAACAAATACCGTTTGTTTGTTCTAAAATCAAGAAATTATTTTCTTATGGCGAAGAGCATGAGCATCACGAAATAAAATTGAATAATCAACACCTACTGACCTGTGTGCTACATAAATGTATTCCACCCATTTGGGTTGTTATTCAAAGATAAAAGTGATCAGTGTGATGAATGCCAAATTATGTGTTTAAAAAAAATGCAAATGTATTTTTTAACTAAAATTAAGATACCAAAAAACCTACCTGGTATCGTTACATTACTGGTGTTATATTTAGCACCTGTTTTCTCCAATTGTGCAATCAATTCTTCTTCGTCCAAGGTGTCATCTATAAAAATATAATTATATAAATATCATAAGATAAAATTTATGGCGAAATGTCTTCGATAATTGAGTGAATAAATTAGTTTTTGAACCGAACAGTTCAAGAAATATCTCTCTTATAGAATTCACATCTATTGGAGTGGGAGTTATATTGAACTTTTCCACGTTCTACACAAATGTGGTTCAAGTTCTCCATTGGATTTTCCTCCAACTTCATAATGAGTTCGTTCAACAAAACTGGGAACAAGTCTTTAAAAATTGTGGTTGAAGATCATCCAGTGTACGTGATTTTCATTGTAACATAAATTTCAAGCCAAAATTCGAGATAGTTCTGGCACAAAGTTAGTCAAAAAGAAGACAAATAATATCTCGAAGTATACTGTACAAAACTATTCACAAAAATATAAAAAAATTTCATGTAAGTATTAAAAGTGAGCCAATTTTGCTATTCGTTTAGTACGGTTCAGATAATCTATTGCTGATATTTTAAAAATAGTAATAGTAGAAATTTATTAATAAGATAAATATGATTAACTTTTATTTTATACCTAAATAATGATTGGTGTCATCCTCACTGTCCATTTTATTGAGTTCAATTGCTTTTGGGACTCTGTTGCTATCCTCGGATGCTATACTATCATCAATTGATATTACGTCAGTCATTTCTACGTCTTTATTTTTATTTAAATTCTCTTCAATAATGTCTTTACTTTGATTTGAATTTAAATCGTCTTCAATCTTATCAGTCTTATTTAGGTCTTCTTCAGCTGCAATAATCTTATTGAGCTAGAAAAGAAATAAGCAAGTTTATTACTAAAGTATTTATCAATATTATATTAGTACTAGTATTATTATTATATTAGTACTTATAAATAAGAGAATAAAAATAGTGTAAAATATGGAGTCTTCCTTTTCCTTCAAAAAAAAGATAAAGTGGCGCCCTTTACTTTTCGTTTTCATTTAGTAACAAACTCTGTCTACTTCTCTTTCAGTTGATACGTTTTAATATTCAAATTTTTTTTATCTCGATATCCCCCACGCTAGATATATAGAATCACGTTCCAAAACTCGCCGTTGTATCTTTCAAAACAACCGAATATCGGTTTGCAAAGTGAATGTACTTGTACCCGGAATTCTCCATTTCTTCATAGAAACTAATAGAAATAAAGAGGAGTATGACAGGGATACGTATTGTTTCCAATACTCTAAGTATATTTAGAACACCTATTGTACGAAGGAATACTGTGAAACGGCGAATTACTGAACATACGTTACGCAAACGATACCGTCGTCTTCGCAGATAGTGTAGAAAGATGATTTGGTTTAGATTTTAATATTAAAAAGTATATGGTCATCAGTAAAAACAAAATTATAGCTAGACAACTGTTAGTCAATCAGTAACCATTAGAATGAGTCACCAATTACTGCAATCTAGGCACAAATTTGAATGATCGTTGGGAACACTCGACGAAGATAGAAGTAAGGATTGAGAAGATAAGATCAGCATTGATCAAAATGAAAAAAAAATCAGTAGTCAGGATCTACAACTCCCAATTAAGGCCACTTGCTGAAATGTTACAAATGGTCGCGAAATAAACATAAAATCGTCACATCGACATGTCGTTATAAAACGACGCAAACTGCAAAATATGGGTCATGTAATGCTTAACGAATATTGCTACAGCCTGCTGTAAAACATTCTGTAAAGTAAGCTACATGGACGTACAAATGGTGCACGGCAAGATATGCCTGAGAAGGCGTATGGTATGATGGCTGCGCAATCTCCAAAATTGGTACAACTTAACGACTACATAACTCTTTAGAGCAGCAGTCAATAAAGTTAGAATAGCCATAAGGGTAACCAACATCTGTAACGGATAGACATTGCAAGAAGAAGAATCATCTGAACCTTATCTCTTATAATTGTAAATTCCTTTACACAAAAGATATTATTTGCAAATTATTCGTTGCTAGCCAATTAAAAGAATATTAAACTTAAAATTAATTTTATTGTTACGCTCAATGTCTTAGTTATTGCCAATTTCTGCATATGCATGTCGAATTCTTGAAAAAAGTTAGTTTCTATCTCTTACGTGAGTTTTGTAAATCTTTTGTGTGCTAATTGCTTAAAGAAAGAGTCTAGAATTGAGAGATTTCGAGCTAAATTGATCAACGGACTACTAAGATTTGGAATGTAACCGTTGATCATTGCCTCAGAGATCTGACATAATGAACTGAACATACATTTAACTGGACAAATAAATTCAATTAATTTAGTTGGCAGGTCGACAATGGCATCCCACATAGTGACATAATATCCACAAATAAAATGTTTCCAAATATTAACCTCTTGTTTTCCAAAAAATGAAGTAACCAATAATTCGCTAGTTATATCCCATAAAACATCGACTATTTGAGAATACTGGCTTTTACAGATTATTCCCCAATAAGGATTAAGCGCTGCCCAATGCCGACAACTTTAGGAATGATACCACTGCGTTTGTATTTAAAGCAGTTTTGTCGGTAAATTATGTTTTTGAAATGAAAACTTCTTTAGCGACGTTGTGCACCTTTTGATGGCTAGACGGTTCGCCCCGTATGAGTTCTCGTCGGAAAGGTGGGAGGGTAACTAGTACAATGAAGGAGAAAACGAACATAGCGGCATTGCCAAGAGGGCATTACATCATATATCCGTTGTTATTTGTCCGATTGGACGTGTGATACGTTAAATGAAAGAGGAGGGGTTAACGATTATATTAAAATAGAAAAAACGTATAGTTATTATACATTAATTATATTATAACATTATTTATATTATTATTGTACAAGACAAATTTTAATTTATTGACGACTTAAACGTCTCTGGGTGAGTAAAAAAATAAAAATTTATTGAACCTAACCTAACCTAACATGCGACATAAACAAAAAGGGGATAGGATAACGATTATATTAAGATGAAAAAAAAACAAACAAGGCCACTACTAAAAGGGCACTACACAGTATCTTGATTATTAATGAACGTATAATTACATACAAGATATCATAGAGTACTATGGATAAAAATAGATTTACTACAGGACAAATTTTGATTTATTGACGACTTAAAGAAGACCTCTGGCTGAATACAAATTTACCAACTTATCGAAGCCTAACATGCTACATAGCAAATGAAAGGGAAGGCTATAACAAATACATTAAGATAGAAAAAACAAACAAGGCGACTACCAAAAGGGCACTACACAACATCTCCGTTATTAATGAATGTATAGTTACATACGAGATATCCTAGGGCACTGTGGATGAAAATAGATGTAATAAAAGACTAAAGACTAATAAATTTTGATTTATTGACTTAAAGAAGGTCTCCGGCTGAGTTCATAATAAAAAACGAATCACACCCTGAAATGCGAATGTAGAAATGTATAATGTAGAAAAAAATGTAGAAATTAATGTTGAACGAATTGAGAATATGTTGGAGCAATTAGTTCATAATTATGTAATATTTTGTAAACACATTTTTTTATAATGCAGTTTTATTTTGTTGCTGATTACTGGGACATTCAATATATGTACACAGGTACACCGTAGTTACTAAGAAAATGGAAAAAAATTAAAGGAAAATCATTGAAAAACTTTAAAAATTTGAAAGCAAATTGCCAATTATTAATAGATGTATTTTATAACACAAAAACATTTACCATATTTAGAAAATGATACAGAGTAATAAAATAAATTGGTCAATATTTTTTTTAACTTTGTAACACCCTCGGTACAAATAACCTCGATGAAACGATCACAAGATGAGCGGAAACTAAAAGCAAAGTTTTACAGATTGAGAGAAGTCTGAAGAGAACTATAACATAAAGGAATGTAGGCTTTTATAGTCTATGCAACGATACACTGTTTTCAAGGCCTAAAATATGTAGCCTGAAATTCTTTTAATGCCATGGCCTTTAATCTGATAAACGAATATTGGTACCAAGATCAAAAACGTTTTTCTGGGACTGCGCTTACTCAGAAATAAATATGACATAAAAGAAAAACATTTAAATAATATACAAAAATAATATAAACATATAAGTTGTGAGTGACTTAAAATTTCAATTAAATATTTACTCTATATTTTATTCTAAACATTACACTCCGAATTATAAATATATGTAATACATTACCTGGGAAGATCTTGCCACTAAGCTGTGAAAACCAGTATTCACTTTTCCTAGTGCTGTAGCAGGACGCTTAATTTTTAGGCACAATGGTTGAACAGCAGATGCAAAATTTGGTGGTTCGTAATCCATGGGACAATCTAAAAACAAATACAACCACATCTACTTAAGTCATCAGAGACGAAAATGTCACTCAACCTTTAAAAATCATACGAACAAGCTGAATTTTGCGAGAATATTAAATTTGGTACCCCAAAAAAGATGCAAACAAGTTTACCACTTTTATCCCCGAGCTTTCTCCTAGAACCGCTCTCGCATGGGGGTAAAAGCGCCAAAGAATTGATTTACCAAGAATCTGTACACCGTAAAAAATGTTTCAAATAAAAAATGTAGCTGAGATAAATTTAAACAAACATGTTTATTACTATTTTTTGTGTAGAATAAACCGATTTTGCATGTCAGTTACGCGCAAGAAATCATGTTCAATAAAATTTGTATTAACTCGACGGTAAAAATTCGGTATCTTTTGATTCAAGTGACCTATTTATACAAATCAAGATGCGTTTTAAAGGTAAAGAGTTCAGTTTTCGTATGCAGTTTTTGTATTTTGCTGCAAATAATCTCAGATTTTACACAGGTTGACTCTAGACTCTAACAGGTTGACAAATGACTCAGTTTTCTTCCATTAACATTTATTCCTTTATCTGCCCAGTTTTGTCCAACATGTCATTGAACACGTCTTCCAGTCCAAGTGTGAATAGCGTTGGTGAGATAACATCTCTCTGGCGAACTCCTCTGTTGATTGGTGTAGCTTTGGTTTTCGCATCTATTTGTATTTTCATTGTAGCTTTCTCGTAAATATTATGTATAAGCATTGGGTATCGGGAGTCTATCCTGCAGTTGTTCATAGCTCTCTCTATTGCTTAAAGTTCTATGGAGTCAAATGCCGTTTCATAATCAACGAAGCCAATGTATATATTCAAGTGATAAACATTGGCTTTTTCGATTAGAGTTCTGACTGTAAGAAGATGATCCGCTGTACTGTAACACTTTTACGGAATCCTGCCTGCTCTACTGGTTGATAGCTATCGAGCTTCGACGTTAGCCTATTAGTTATTACTCTCATAAACAGTTTGTACCGGGTGGTCCAATAAGCCGATCTCTCGGCTATATATCAGAAACTATTCATGTTATAACTTTAGGGAAAAAAATCCCTAGTAAAAGTGGCCAAGAGAAATCGCTGGAAATAACTTTCAAGATTCTGGATTAACCGCTAGGGGGCGTAACCTGCGAAGAAAATTTTGAAAACCAGTTTTTTGGGAAGTAATCCCAACTATACCAAGTGTTAAATAAGTAAACTAGAAAGGGCATAAATTCTGCACAAAGTTGTTCAAGTACTTTTTTTTTATTTTTTCAAATAAAGGGTGGGGGAGAGTGGGAAAGTATTTGTGGATAAATGCCTATAACTTTTGTTTGGTCCAACCGATTTTAATGAAATTAGTGTCATTAGAAGGAGTGTGGATAAATTAATTCACATCTACTATAAAATACTTGCATTTAGTTTTCATAGTCGTAGGTAGAGGGGACTTTCAAATAAAAAAAATTAAAATTTGTTTTTCTTCAAAATTTTTAATGGAAACACCTATTTATTGTAAATTATAATGGAACTGGAATAAATTCGTAACAAAATGGAGCAAACCGCATGTTAATAGCTTTTGTTGAACTCGAGATATGAATAAAAACTCATAAACATAAGTAAGTATAATATTGACACACCCTGTATTATAAATTACATTAAAAAATAAGTCAGAAGGTATTTTCAAATTTTTTTATAGCAGAAGAATCTTAATGTTGATACCTATTTTGTAAAAAATAGTTCTTTTGAAACTAAGTAGGCTACGACAATGAATTTGATTGTTCATACTGTTTATTTATTGACAGCAGTCAAAACATTGTTAAGAAGTGCTATATTATAATTCAAATTAAAGATTGCACTTTTTTCAATAGATATTAATATTGGTAATATTAGTAATTAATTATCAGTACAAATAATTCGTGATGAGTAGGTATATCAAATTGTATATGATTGGAGTTTATTTCGAATGTCACCAAAATGCCGCTATTGCCTCACGTATATATTTTGTAAGATATCGTGACAGGAGACATTATGGCAAAGAAGTATTTGAAAGAAGGGCAAAAAGATTAAGAGAAACTGGTAGTTTTTCTCGTCCTTGTTTTAAATAACGTAGTAGAGTTATGACCGAAGATAATTCAATCAATGTTCTTGCTTTAATTCAACAGAATCCACATATAAGTAGTCCGAAATCTCTACTTCTTTGCCACAATATCTCCTGCCAGGATATCTTACAGAATATATACGTGAGGCAATAGCGCCATTTTGATGATATTCGAAACAAACTCCAATCATATCATACAATTTTATATACTCATCACGAATTATTAGTACTGATAAATTAATTACTAATATTACCAATATTAATATCTATTGAAAAAAATGCAATTTTTAATTCGAATTATAATACATATAACACTTCTTAACAATATTTTGACTGCTGTCAATAAATAAACAATATGAACTCCCTGTCAAATTCATTGTCGTAGCCTACTTAGTTTCGAAAAAACAATTTATAATCATATGAAATAACAATGGTCAAAATAGGTATCAACATTAAGAGTTTTCTGCTATAAAAAAATTTTGAAAGTACCTACTGACTTATTTTTTAATTTATTTTATATTACAGGGTGTGTCAATACTATACTTACTTATGTTTATGCGTTTTTATTCATATCTCGAGTTCGATAAAAGCTATTAACATGCGGTTTGCGCCATTTTGTTATGAATTTAATCCAGTTCCATTATAATTTACAATAAATAGATGTTTCCATTAAAAATTTTGAAGAAAAACAAATTTTAATTTTTTCTATTCGAAAGTACCCTCTACCTACGACAATTAAAACTAAATGCAATTATTTTATAGTAGATGTAAATTAATTCATCCATACTCTTTCTAATGACACTAATTTTGTTAAAATCGGTTGATCCAAACCAAAGTTATAGGTATTTATCCACAAATACTTTCCCACTCTCCCCCACCCTTTATTTGAAAAAATAAAAAAAAAGTACTTGAACATCTTTATGCAGAATTTATGCCTCTTTCTAGTTTACTTATTTAACACTTGGTACAATTGGACATATTTCCCAAAAAACTGGTTTTCAAGATTTTCTTCGCAGGTTACGCCCCCTAGCGGTTAATCCAGAATCTTGAAAGTTATTTCCAGCGATTTCTCTTGGCCACTTTTACTAAGGATTTTTTTCTCCTAAAGTTATAACATGAATAGTAGTCTGATATATATATATATATATATATATATATATATATATATATATATATATATATATATATATATATATATATATATATATATATATATATATATAGCCGAGTGATCGGCTTATTGGACCACCCGGTACATTTGGGATAGCAGGGAGATTGGCCTATAGTTTTTCAGATCCCCCCTGTCTCCCTTTTTGAAGAGAAGTATTATCAAACTTTCATTCCAATCATTTTGGACTTCTCCTCTGTGAAGACATTCGTTGAAAAAAATTTTCAATTCTTCGATAATAATTTCACTCCCCTCCTTCAACATTTCTACAAGTATTCCATCTGGACCCGGAGCCTTATTGTTCTTTAGTTGTGCCATAGCTAGTTATATTTCGAAGGATTCTGTGTTAGGGATATTTCTGAGTCGACATTCGTTATCTTTCTTTTAAGATCTTCCTTTGCAGTGTTATCTGGGTTCTTGTTTGAGGAATATAAATCACGGTAAAATGTTTGAGTTTTAGGATTTTGTTCTTTTCTCTAATTTCTTTTCAATCTTTCTCCTTCAATAAGAACATTATAAGCTTTCCTAAGTTTGATCTTACGCATGTCAGGCCTCGGTTCTTTTCAATTATTTTTTCTACCTTGTTTTCATTCTAAATCCTTACATTTTCCTTTACTACCTTCTTTATTTGTTAGTTCAATTCTTTGAAACCATCGGTATCACGCTTTCCTTCGCTTAGAAATGTGCTTCTCTTCCACCAACCGTTTTATTCCATCACTTATTCTGTCTTCTTTTTTTTTCATTTTCTTTGCAACAGTCAGTCATCTTTCAAAAGCTTTCGTTGCATTTCTTTATTAATTGTGTTCATGTCGGAATATTCTTGTTGATAATGTTCTACAAATTCTTTTCTTAAGACTTTTCTGTACTCATCTCCCTTCTGTCGTATTTTAGTTTGATCTATCTAATTACAATAATTATATAGTCTGTTTCTACTGGTTTTCGTCTGTTTAATAAGAATCCTTGCTCTCAAAAGGCGATGATCGCTGCCAGTTGTGAATCGATTGGGAGCAGTTATATCGTCAAAAATGTCTTTGTTCCCACACAAGAAGTAATCGATCTCGTTTTTCGTCTTTTTATCACGAGATATTCACGTCTATTTTCGGTTTGCTGGTTTTTCGAAGTGTGTGTTCATGGCATATAAATTTTGTTGTTCTAAGAAGTTATATATTTTTTCTCCTCTTTCATTTCGTGTGCCATAACCATGCATCCCTATTTTAGTTTCAGTATTTTCTTCTTCTTTACCTAATTTTGCGTTGAAATCTCCCAAAATGATGTTATACTTGTACTAGTAAAAACTGAGTTTATTCTCGGCAAAATACAAAAACTGCATACGAAAGCTGCACTCTTTGCCATTAAAATGCATCTTGATTTTTGTCCATAGGACATTTGGATCAAAAGATATCGAATTTTTATCGTCCCGCTGATACAAATTTTATTGAACATTGATTACGCGCGCGTACCTGACATGCAAAGTCGTCGGTGGCTTCAAGCATTGTTTCTAAAAGAACGGTTCATGCAATACGAAAAATGCTTATAAACATTTTTATTTAAAATTATCTCAGCTATTTTTTATTTTAAACATTTTCTTCTACGGTGTCCAGATTCTTGGTAAATCAATTTTTTTGCGGTTTTACCCCCTGCGAGGGGAGTTTTAAGGGAAGCCAGGGGTAAAAGTGGTAAACTTTTTTGCATCTTTTTTGGAATCTCAAAATTAATATTTTCTGCAAAATTCAGC